CATGAAACACTGTTATTGAACTGAACTGGACTTTGCATTAACGGTTTGTCAGGAAACGTTTTGTTATTGAACTGGATCTGATTTTGCATTGACGGTTTTGTCATTGAACGTTTTGCTATTGAACCGAATTTGATTTCCGCATTAACGGTTTATCAGTGAAAGTTCTGTTATACTTACATGGTTTATCTGGCATGTTAAAAGTTTTACCCAAGGGCTATCCATATTTACTTACTGAGTTATCTCATAGTTTTCCCTTGTCCACCATTTCAGGAAACGAAACCGAAGACGGGGAAACCAAGGGAGTGACGAGTTAGAAGGCTAGCCATCGTGTAAATTGAATATGGATTTTAGATATAGATCATGATCTTGTAAACAAAAGTTTAATTGGAGATTTTATAAATTCAGTTAATGGATTGTTAGTTACAAGAGATTTGACCTGGAGATTTTGAAGTTAAGTCATGTGGACATAGAAAAGAAATTTTGAAATATCCGATCTGAGTTACGGGATTGTCAGATGTGAATTGGATAAATTCTGAGCCTTGTGCATTTGTGGGACTCGTCTCACGAGTGCACGGTGTCTGTCGCGCCTCGGATTTGAGTTCTGGGGCGTGACATAATCATTTGGTTATATAATGATTAGTAGTTGTTATTTGATGTTAAATGACTAATAAAGTATTGTTGAAAAGCAATTAAGCATATTTTATATATATTTTTCATTATTAAAATTATTAATTTTATAAAAATAATAATACAAAATAAATATAATATACTATAATATAAATGTGAATCACATTTTCATATCTATTTTGAATAAAGAAATAATTATATTATTTTTAAATAAAAGAAAAAAATTTAATAATTTCATTAAATTAAAAAATTGTTTATTAAGTTAATATAATTTTTGATGATGAGTGAATGGAAAAATAAAATATAATCATTACTTAATATTATTAAAGAGAAAAAAATGAAATTAAAACTAATTAGATAATTATTAGTTAAGGATTGTGGTAAAAAATTAAAAAACTTAAAATAGATATTCAATTTGCTAGTGGTTTGATATAAAAAGCTATTTAATATAGTTTTTTCAATTTATTAGCAGTTTAGACATTAATTGTTATCCATTAGTCCCAAAACACTAAATAAAAAAGTTTACCAAACATTTAATTTGTATTAATTTCAAAATATACAAATTTACTAAACAAATGATTTTGGCAAAACTATAATCACTACCCTACAAACTGTTATTTCAAATGAGCATTTAAGTAACGTTTTATACTAAATTACTAGTAACTTAGAATTTTTTAATTGTATCGATAAATTTACCAAACTAATTATTTTAAAAATTTTGCCAATTTTTAATTACTAATTATCTATAATTGGTTTCAATTTTGTTTTTCTTTTTCTTTAATGATATTATGTGATTGTTATATTTT